TTCACTTTACCGCTACGAAACCTGAGAATTCGAAAGTCACCAAAAGACGTCTGTCTCCAGAAACACTCGAGCTGATACCCCAGTGCGGAATCGAACGAGCTGCAGGCAACAGCGAACTAAGCTCCAAACATGCAAAGCAATGCAGACAGGCGGTAAAAGAACAACTTAGGAAGAGAATAGCAGCGATAATGGTCGAAGTTGCGGAGGCTGGTAAAAGCATTCGCAAAGCCCACCGAAGCTTCTCCGATTGCATAACCAAGATGATTGCATTCGGACGCCCAGACGGAACAGTTACAGCGTCCAGAAAGGCAATGGAGAAAATCATTCACGAATACTACTCAGGTCCCTTTGATATCCATGTCCACCTTCCGTCATATGAAATAAAGGAGGATAGATATGTTGTACCACCTGTTCTCCCTTCCGAAATCCGACATAGCATTTCGTCGGTGAAAAATCGAGCAGCACCAGGTCCGGACAGGATAAAACGAGAACACCTGAAGAACGTTTCGCCAGTCCTTGTTAACGCACTGAATCGGCTCTTCACACGTTGCTTGTGAAAATGCAAGTTGCTTACTCCATGGAAGACCAGCAAGACCGTGATAATGTTCAAGAAGGGTGATGATCTCTACGATATTGGCATTCATCTACAAACTTTTCACTCGAGTCGTCCTAAACAAGACTGAAAAACATTGGACGAAGGGTATCCATGTGAGCAAGCAGGGCTTCGAAAAGGATTTAGTACTATGGACCATATCCACACAATAACAAGTTTCATTGAAGTATAGCGAGAGTGCAAAAGACCGCTCTGTCTCAATTTCATCCATTTAAAGAAAGGCTTTGGCTCAACTGAGATAGAAGCAGTCAGGGACTCCTTGATTGTCAAGAAGTCCCTACTCAGTACTTAAAGATTCTTCGTGAGCTGTGCAAATATTTCGAAACAAAGATATCACCATTCTACAACGATATCAACATTGACGTTAAAAGAGGAGTTAGGCAAGGCGATACCATCTCGCCCAAATTATCCACCGCCACCCTCCAGATCGTCATGCAAACATTGGAATGGATAAATATGGGAGTGAAAATCGATGGTTGAGAGTTACGTCATCTTCGTTTTGCTGATGACATCTTTCTTATAAAACCAATCATTAGTGAAGGAAAACGTATGCTTGCCGACTTCGATAAAGCCTGTGGAAAGATTGGTCTTCGATTAAATCTCACAAAAACAATGTTTATGAGGAACGGATTGGCTTCGTATGCTCCAACGCTTAAGGGAACGAATATCTCCGAATACTCAAATTATATTTATCTAGGTCGGAAAATCAATATGATGAGCGACCTAGCTCCAGAGTTGGGCAGAAGGAAGCGAGCTGCTTGGGGAGCTTTCAGGAGGATTGAGGATATAGTGAGGGAAACAGTAAGCAGCCGACTCCGTGCCACCCACCTTTTCGACTCAACAGTACTTCTTGTGTTAACATAGCTTCAGAAACGTGGTCGCTGTCGCTGCTTAAAGAGGACGAAATTCACTAAGCGTTATTGAACACGCAGTCGAAAGGACGATGCTAGGAGTATCTCGTGTCACGCAAGTAAAGGTTGGGATCCGAAGCCCCGATCTGCGTATCTGCGTCAAGGATCAAAAATTAAAGATGCGGCTCTGTGCGCCAAGCAGTCGAAGATAAGGTTGACCGGACACGGAATGCGTATGAATGACAACCGATTGACAAGAGCCGATAGTGACTGGATTCCTCGGGAGGTCAAACGTACTGCAGGAAGACTACCGACCCGATGGTCAGAGTTTTTCACAAAAAGCCATGAGGAAAGATATGATGCTGGACGAGTCCCTAGAGCATGCAGAACCAACTGGGCTACTCTTGCACGCGACAAGGAAAAATAGAAGGTTTACTGGCACTCGTTCGAGTCACTCGACGATCAACGGGGTTAAAGGTGACACAGGTGTTCCAATTTGACGATTTTCAGACTTTTTTCTAGGTTTGATCATAGTGACGAAATTTTCAAAGGTAACCACAAAGGATGTTTAGTGCTCTCCGTGCAACTTCTGTAAGTCAGGATAGTACGCTTGGACTTCCTCAACCGCAACCCTTCGATTTGGGTTGCTAAATGTTCGAATAAACCGTTTTTTATAGCAAAACTCGTGTTGACAAAAATGTCGGCGCTGTCGACTCCTCCACAGTCGCATGTTCTGAGAAACCATTTTTTCCGATGTCATAGACGGTGTTAAATGGGTGGCGGCTTTTCGAGTCGACTAATCTGATAACGTTGCATTTTATCATTCCTATTTGCATAATCTAGTCTTTTTTCGAGAACACAGATGTTAGTGTTCATGTGTTGTAAGTTCAGATCGTCCGTCACTTTACTCCATTGCGATTTAAGCAGCCTAGAATGACCCTGAAATTTTGGCACCTCTTCTGTGTCGCCCTAAACAACGCTGCCTTATTAAACGCTTGTTTGATGTCGGGAAAATAAAGCCCACTCATTTTTTTTGTGTTGCCTCCAACAATCGTTTTCCAGGTATGCTCTAAAAAACACTGTAACGCCTTATGGGAGCATAATTGGCCTGTTATAACTTTTTAACATACAGCTTACAAAACTGTATGTGAAAGTAACTGCCACGACCGACTTTCTATTAACCTCGACATTGATCAAGTGATTTTCTTCGTATTTTTGTTGAGCAAACGCGAGGTGTTATTATTCTTTGTTCACGACTAATCTGACGTTTCGGCGGATTTCGCCTTCCTCCAGAGCCTGGAAAGGTCAAGTCGATAGCAATGCAATCTACTCGGCCAGACGCCTCCATAACCAAACAAAGAAACCCCAAACCAAGATTTCAATCACTTTGAACACAGCTTTGCACACTCACCGCTTTCTATGAGGTTTCCACTAAGTATGTCACGTAGAGACCAACCGCACAGAAATCACGTGGAAGTATAATGTGCCCCTCACTTCAGCAGTTTTATATACTGCCCTATATCACGCGTGATAATGAGGCATTCTTCCCTGAGGTTCATTTTCGGATTTCTGGAATTAATCCAGAGTGCCTCGAGAGTTTCTCGCGCCTGTGTTCTTGATTCGCGTGCGAGGATCGTGACACATACTTCGAAGTCGTCCCCGTTATGTCTCTGGGTCCTATGCGTGCCTAGCGGGGTATTTGGTCTATTTTTGCCGGCTAGGTGTTCTTTCATGCGGACACAGAGGGGTCTACCCGTTTCGCCAATGTATTCGTCACCACACGTCTCACAGGAGATCAGATAAACTATACCCGAGCTCATGCAATCACCGTCTCTACCACTGGGGCAAATTATGCAATTTTGAGTTGCACATAGACGGTCATATAAGCGGTTGCGAACTAGCTGCTGCTTAAGATTACTCGGTGGTATTTCAACTACGCTCACCGAATTCTCTAAGCGCGCCCTTCTTAAGCAGCGTTTTATAGCTGTACTTATATCATTTGAGATGAAGGGTAGGATAAACGGGACCCTTCTATCGCTAGAGTTGTCGTTTGGAGGCCTACGATTTCCTCTACACCTATTCTGAGCTACAGTTTCGTAGCCATTAGAAATGGCTGTTTGCCGTGCCAAGTTCCGGGACTCCTCTCTCTGCTCTCTTCCCGTGCACACGTTGGTTGCCGTTCGAAACATGTTTTTTATAAGCGCCCTTTTCGTGTGAGAGGGGTGAGAGGAGAGGTAATGAACCAAGATGTTTTTACTACTTGGCTTTCGGTACCATTTTGTAATGTAGCCATTTTCTGGTAGGTGAATTTGTACGTTCAAAAATGGAAGCCATTTTTCTATCGGCTTTTCTCGGGTGAACTTGATATACTCTGACTGTGCGTTTAACAATTCGAAGCATTTGTCCAATTCCTCTTGTGTTGAGCAAAGGACAAAGCAGTCGTCTACATACCTACAGTAGAGTAGCGGCCCGAGATCAGTCACCGGTGCTTCCACCTTAGACATAAATGCAATGGCAAGGATTGGAGCCAGTCGTTGCCCCATTGCCAACCCTCTTATTTGAGCGTAGTACTTTCCAGACCATCTGAAGATTGAGCAGCCCAAGCATTCTTTTAAGAGTGCCATCAGGTGCTCTATCCTGAAGCCATACATGTTTAATTCTCCTTCGTGTTGCGTAAGGAGTTCGAATATGGCTTGCATTGCGGAGTCATTCAACACGTTTGTATAAAGTTCGGTAACGTCGAAGGACTCCATCACGCACGCGCTGTTGGGCTGCGCACATTATACTTCCACGTGATTTCTGTGCGGTTGGTCTCTACGTGACATACTTAGTGGAAGCCTCATAGAAAGCGGTGAGTGTGCAAAGCTGTGTTCAAAGTGATTGAAATCTTGGTTTGGGGTTTCTTTGTTTGGTTATGGAGGCGTCTGGCCGAGTAGATTGCTATCAACTTGACCTTTCCAGGCTCTGTATGTGAAAGTATTTAAACGAGCAGTGTCTGGAGGAAATTGACCTTTTAATTAATTATTGGGCATTCTGCCGAACTGATGACACTATCGCTCTGTGTTATACGTGAATTCGGACTAACCATACAAAAGGCCACTTTTGATGGCGATCCCATTATTGGGTAGCACTCGTAACAGGAGAAAAAACCGACAGTTTTGTTCACCAATTTCGACTACCTCCATAAACACACGAGAGAACTTGCTAATATGGGATTGCACGAGCAGCAAACAGATGCCAACTTGCTGGTCTGCTTGCTGATCTGTGAAAAAAAGCGGTAAAGGAAGATCTCAAGAATAAGTCTACAATAGAGTAACCTAAAGCTGCAATAAATGAAAAGAGTTTCAGTTGCGGTTATCAATATTTTCCCAGCTTTAGTGAGATCGTGGTCTACCTTAGCAGCAAAGTGTATTGCCTGTGCTTCAAGATAGACAATAGAGAAGATCATCGACGACTTTTTTCGATAGAAATTTTTTCCTATCTCCACATGAGAACGAGGGATAGATTAATCGTTTCTACCGGTTCCATTTGCCTGTGTTTACTATCACAACCCAAAGTATCAAATTAGAGAGCATCACTGCGTTGTTAGAGAAGTAGGAGACCTATGCTGCATCTGTAACTTTTACGCAATATATCTGCTCTTTGCCTTCTATAAGCTCTTCACTCTATTCATCCTTAGTGGGACTAAGGCTAAAGATCGACGAACGTTGCTGAACGGATTTTGGGTGAGTATGAGTTTAGGAGCATGTGTGCGATGAAAGTATGAGAGGAATTGCAATATTCTTACCTAAATGGGGAAAAAACGACTAAAAACGCTGCCATATGCCTAAAATATTAGAAATCAGCAATGTCTAATAAAAAAATGAGAAAGAGAAATAAAGACAAGCTTGCTGTTATTTTAGGTGTGATTACTTTTTTAATTTAGAGCGGTAACTTATTTGCGAGAGTTGATGTGCGATCTTAGCATTCTTTGGTTAACATGGGCGATTGCACAGATCGTTGCCATTAATCTTGTCTTCTATGGAATCAAGAGCATTCGCTGGCGATTTTTTTTGCCACATCTTATTTTAAGGTTCGTTTTTATTATTACCAAATTCAGAATTCAATGAGCGATAAGCCTAAAGCAATAAACATTGTGACAGCAGTTCAACGAGCATTCCTCATGCCAATCGCTTAATCATATTGGCTAGCTTTCTGACAATAATATGTGGGAATGCTTGATCCTTCATTTCTATAGAGTATCCGTTTCTCGAAAATTACTTTTCACTGATAAATAAAGAACTAACCATGGGCGAGTCCAGTGTCACATAACTGATTTGTTCTTTTTTTTCAAAACGTTGACGGCTTTAATACCGTGAAAATTTTTTGCACTATTGACGTAGACACGTGAACTATTCTATTTATTCTATTGGTTTTTTCTAGCTTTATAACTAAGGATTACTGAGTGTGATTTACATAATTATGGACTAGAAAAACTACAGAAAAGCAAGTTTTTACAGATTCTTTGGCACAGGAGCTCTGCTTTGCTTAATCGTTATTTTTGGACTTTCCATTGTCTCGGAAGAGAATAACGCTGCTTACATAGCTGGATTGGTGATTGTCACTCTACTAGTGGTCTTTTGGATTTATTCTACGGTTAGTATGGTTACAGTTCGATTTTGAAAAAAAACGGTATTGGTTTTTACAGCTTCAAGGCAGAAGACAAAAAATCGTTTCCTCTTGATATTTGCAGTTTCCAGTTAAGGTCCAGTCACCGGAATCTAGCACTTTGATGACGTTTTTCAAGTAAATGTGATCTGAGCTGGTTGTAGCGTCTTGTTTAAGTACAAAAAAGTGTAGTAAATAAGTTGGGAAATTCGACGAAAAATGACAACGAATCGAGAATTGATGAATAGAGCTGACTCGTGGTTGTAAAAGTACAAATCTAATTGACAAAGTTTTGAGTAGTTCATAGGCTTAACACCCCAATAAAATGTATTGAAGAAGTCGGTAGATCATTCACAGCACTTCGGCAAAAGAGAGGATGCTATTACATCACGATGATTGGAATGGCTTTTTATAGGCAACAGATCTATCGACACTCTTAAGAGTGCAGCACTCTCTTATTCCCTTAAAGAATCAGGCCTTCGATAAAATCACTGAAATATTTACTTGTTTAGGTGACAGAGTTTTGGTGTGCGTATTTTGTGAAGCGTTCACAAGAAACTGGTTTCTCGATATCGGTAGCTCGACCGATTGGCCCAGCAACGATATCACTAAGCGAAAGAGCAGCACCTTTATCGGTAAAATTTTGATCGATTTTTTTTCTTAGTGCTTATTAAAGATATGATAAAAGCTCTGAAGAGAAAGTTTGAAGAAACATTTGCTTAGATAAATCTATCTAATATCATATAATTTTAACAAACCCAATACAAAAAAAGACAAAGAACAGAAAAGCGAAGAGCTCCATTTCTTGCTATAAGCACCATAAACGATCTATTTTAAAAGAGAACTTAGCTTAAGAAAGCGGAAGTAAAAATTTCTTGAATTGCTGAAGGGAGTTGTTAATAATAAATAGTAGATCACAAGAAAGAATTTTTTCCGGAATAAAATCGCTTTTAAATAATTCCTGCGACACGTCTAATAAAAACGTCCGGCTAAAAAAAGCTTTTTCGAAATTTTCTTTATGACTTCCGCGGCACTGATGTCTAAACTATACAAAGCCCAATAGGTGCTATCAGCAATCACCCGTCAACGAGATTTATCTGGGAAGTAAAAATCGGCTTCAAATCCAGTTACGCTGAAGCCGTAGTATAAATCACAATGGATTTACATTTTATTTGCTGCCTAATTTTTTTCTCATAGAAGGGCATGATACAATAAAATTCTATTTTTCCAAAAATTCTAGGATTGTATTTTGTCCTCACTTAGTTATTAATCTTTGTGGTTTAATAAAATAGCATGAAAACGACAATAAAGCAAAATACAGAAAATTTTTTGAACAAGATTAAGGTGGCGAGATTGAGGTGACATTTGCCTTTTGAATGTTACTGAAATAGCAGATAGAGTATGAATATCGATATTGAAGGGTTTCAATATCAAAGAATAGGTAGAGTCCGATTAAGCAACGTTTTCTCATTCATGTCATCTTCTTTCACCAAAATTCCGTTTTTACAATGAGGTAGAAAAGTGGATAAGGACCAATGAGAGGCTTCCTATATTCTGAACAATTAATTACGTGCTAATAATTAGTTGATGACTATTAAGCCACCAAAGCGGCAACTACCACCACTTCGTCACACCTACGGCGGAAGAAGCGATCCTCAGAAATACGCGCAATAATTTCATTGTGTTCGATAAATGAGGTATATCAATGATATTGTTTATGACTTGTTGCTTCTGTTAAAAAAACTTGGTAGAAGGTTTAATAAGAAGATGCAAAAGGAAGGAATCTATCGATATCAAAGAAGAATCGTGTGCATCGTCTTCACAGTTAATGTTCGCTATTTCAAATTTTAGGTAAAAGCAATAAAAGAAGTATCTCGGACGTTGCAGCAAGGCATCTGTTTTGAACAGAAAGAGCACTTTTGGTTTAATAGTTGCCGGATTCGAAGAGTATTAGTGGATTTTGACATTAACGATGTGGCTTTGCTATGTGTCGATGCTTACAACACGGGTTGTAAAAGACAGTATCATGCAGAGGAGGACAGTGTTCCATCACCAATTCGTTATCAACAAAGTGTAAAATTTCACTTCACGCTCATGTGTACAGAATTCTTCATTTGTGTTACGCACGTTATCTGGAAATTATGGCTTCCGTAGTGTCCTGCTCAGTTTTCATTGCTGTTCTCTTTGAATTGCTTCAATCTGAACAAACTAACTTCTTTTTCGGTGAAATGATTGGATGCCAAGTCACAGTCATTTTCTATTTTTTATGGGCTTTTCATACGTGCCCACTGTTTTAATGTCGTTCCGACTATATTTCTGTGTTTTGTACAACTATGATTCATTTCAATCAGTTAGCCTTCATGTGCTTACATGTTTAACATTGTGAAGCTACGACAAAAAACGATGATGAAGCCTTCTGTTTCAGATCAGTAAATAAATATTGAAAAAAACAATCCTAACCTTTGTATTTACTGCCTATTCTTTGTAACGGCAGGGTATGTTGCGAAATATAACTTTCTTCTATAATGTTGAAATATTTGCAAAACCCCTGACCGCAGGTGTCTGCGGTGGGGAACGAACGCGCTACTGTCCTTTCCAGGGAGTAACGCGTTCACCACCACACCATGCGGGTCTTTCGTTTTCCCTGTCTCTCAGCTAGTTTTATCGATCTTTTGCCATCAGCAATCACCCGCCAACGGGATTGATCAGGAAAGTCCAAATTGAAACAGTTAAGTAACACTGATGGTGACGAGACCACTGTTTGCTCCATAATGAAAGGCCGTAATCTGGTTAGAATAAAACTTGTACTTGAAAGTGCTGAAAGGAAATATTTCAAAAAGAGTTTAAGATAGCACGATCGCAACGAAAGCATAAAGCTGATCTTTGGCTTTAACATGACATTTTCATCGTTTATTTAAAACTCACACAGTTGGTAGTATTAGGAAAAGAAATGCCAACCTCTTTGGGCTCTCAGTGGTTTTCCTTGTGGAGGATTGATTGGCCATTGCCATGTGAGTGCACTACTATTTTGTCCATATGATAGCATTGATAAGGCATTCTCATGAAATCTTTATTGTCCTTAGTGCGAGGGTGCCTTCACTCCATTTCGGTGCAATGGTTCTCACTTTGCCACCATATACATATATATATATATATATATATATATATATATATATATATGAATTTATGTATATATATATGCATGCATACATATAATACTGGTATGGAATATTTTTTCTTGGATGTTCAATTCCATAGCTACCATGTCTTCACCTTGTAACATTGACCGATACTGTCTTTCCTAATTGTTACGCTACTGATTTGTACATAGGTGTTCGTTTATGCGAAATGGATCGTACAACTCATTTCAGTCAAAACCGTGTAGTAAGGTGGCTGTAAGAACATGAGAAGCTGTTTAGAGTAGCTCGTCGTACATGTCTCCATGAGAGAAGTAAGCATCGCTACACTGATACCAACATTATATCATGTGCATATATACAATTACATACGTGCATGCATACATAGGTATATGCACTATATATACGTCATGCATATATATAGTGCTCGCCTTTTCTTTTTTCTTGAAGAAAATTCTTTTTCGAGTTTTGTCTTCTTTTCTGCTCTTTGCGCTTCGAATAACTTTCCGTCGTACTAAGCCTCATCGTCGCTCGATTCACTTGACAGTTGTTCATTATTATAACCTTCACACCTCATTGAAACGATCATGCCAATATTTAACACACCAAATTGTTGCTAGAAACGTTCAAGTATGATATTTTTGCTTTCAAAAATTTCTCAATAATGCGAAAACTACCTTCAATCAGCTGTGAAATCGTTACGACCGGCGACAGAAAAACGGTGTGTTTCTTGTTTTGTCGATTCATATTGGTCAAGAATTGTTTTCTTTTTTCAATATTTCTTTTACAACTGAAAAGTGCGGATGAATCAGGATTCCAATTCGGTTTTTTTTCATCGTACTTTCCTAAATGCTGTTTCATTTTTCATTTCGGTATCACCAGCAATCAAAAAACATTCTCCTAGCTACGCGTATAGCGTAGCAGCTGAGAGTACTATTCAAAACACTGTCGTTGGTCCACTATGGCATCTAGGGTTCACCAATCTTCCCATTCCTCCGTAGTCATTAAATTGCTACTATTAACTTGGAAAGTTAACGGCGCTCATTTGGTACATTTTTAGGACACCATAAGCCATTTAGTTGAGGCATTTATTCAATCACCTCTAACGATCCTTAATGAAAACTAACGCCTGGCCCATTCTGCACGGATTGATCGACACCGAACGCTTCAACCCTTAGCCTTTTCACCTGATGTTGATCAAAATTTTCGTATTTCTTCAATAAAAGTTGAAGAACAATATGAAAAAGTTCAGTGACGATATTTATGATAGTTGTTCTTGATGATATCTGGCCTGCTTGGCAGCATAAGAATGGATATTGAAAAGGGAACATGAAGGAAATCCTTGTAACTATCCTTCCTTGTTTTCAAAACATTGGATAGTCGGGGTTTAGTGTATAATTTTAACTTTTTTCTTCAGAGAATCAGTAATTTTACAGTCAAGGTAGATATAGTAACGGATACATGTTCCGGTTGTTCCTTTGGTTGTCTCTTTGGCGTCGGCGATGTGATTGGTGATCAATCCTTGTCAATTTCATCCACTCTTTCAGCCTATTCCTTAGTCTTCAAGCTGTCATTTAGATGGTCTTGATGTGGTGAGTGATCAATGTGCCATTCGATGAGACGAGACAAGTCACATGCAGCAGTGGTTGGTGTTATCAGCACGCACCGGCAAGGTGTTCATCAACAGATACGCTGACGATGCGCATTCTTTACACACTTCACTTAACTTCCTACTGGTTGCATTAAAAGTTACTTTCTATTTGGGTACAGGTTATTCACACCATTCGAAAGCAATGCAAAGTGGCAAGAAATTCAGGAAAGCAATCAAGTAAAATTGAAGAGGTTGAAGTCCACATATCGCTCTGTATACATGGATTCATATGATTCTTTACGGTTTAATAACTAAGAATTATGTAAACGAATAGGATTTTTGCCAGAAGGTGTTCTTCGAAGTGTCAACTCCGAGCTATGATTCCGGTTAATTTCTCCACTACCACGATTTTACGATCACTTCAAGATAAAGAACGAATTAACTGGTCATACGGAATGCTGCCTGTTAAAGCCTACACCGCCTTTGGTAAAGTTTTACGCAGTTGGGAAGATTTTGCTTTAAAAAAAGCGCTTATTGGACCAAAAATAGTTTTTGTGGGCAATTTAAATGTGGGAAATTACCTCTTGAAAGCAATAACATTGCTATTGAACTGATTACTTACTGTACAAACGATAGCCAGAAATCTTGGTTTTTTTTTCGTGAACATTTGCTAAGTTCCATTAAAACAAGAGAACAAAATCTAAGATTTTGAAGTAAAAACAGTAGCGGTATCGAAGCCTAAATGGGTTGCTAAAGTAAGGTTGTTTTAGGCTTTATTTTTAAGGAAACTGAAAAAGGACGTGATTCGAAAACAGTCGTTTTCGAGGGGAACAAATCAGTTGTTTTATTGAATTGCAGATGAAGCGAATGTTTTACATACCGCGCAGTTCATCCTTCACATGGACGTTATACAAATTTCGTTAAGTATTTTTTAAAGGAATTTGCCATTCGAGTCGACTCGGGTCCGCTTGTTCAAAAGAGAATACGGGATTACGAAAATCTGTATCTAAAGGTACTTTTGGTGGTTCAACTTCTATTATGCGCTGATACTGCTTTATTTTTCAATTAAAGCTCAAGGACTGCCTACCGGCTTCTGCAGCTTCCCCTCCGAAGAAGAAATTGTTACAAGCCGACGCCAAACTTCAAGAAAGACGTCGACAATGGATTATCGCTATGACACAAACCTTGCTCACTAACCATCATGATAAGTAAGAAATTTTTGTTGAAGTATATCTTGAGGTGAACGAAAGCGCTAAGCGATCATGTGTTTCCATCCTTATTTCTTTTATGTTGCCAGGTGCTTGGCGCTTTGGAACCTTTTAATGCTGCAGTGAAACAGGAGGTGCTTATTTTTCGTAACCTGGCGATAATTTTTGAACACCTAGAATGTTTTTGAATAAAAGCTCTTTAATCGCCTTTAATAAAAAAAGCTTTAGACTATCGCCATTTTATTGAATAGAGCACACAGTTCAACGCTTTGCAAATTACTACTTAATCGAAATGCCATTCTAACTGGAATAAAAGGTAGGAAAATGGTTTCGTAGGCTATAGAGATCCAGAATTTGACAATGGTAGAGTAAAAGGTTGCGCCTTATTGCCAAAGATCCGTATATCCTAATATTGAGAGAAGAGTACCTATGTGTTTATGGAAGACTTGTTTTTCTTTAACATTTAAAGTCGACATTATTTTCGTTCACGTGGGAAATCAAATCTTTCCATTTCTCCCATTCCGCTCTGTAGCGAAAAAATTGATAGGTCAGTAAATGATTTTCAGCTCATAGATTCAAACTCGAGTTTTCTTTATTGGAAAATGCTCAACTTCTTTAGAAATGTGTCACTGTAATGTTAACTTTTTGTTCACTGCCTATAACAATTGTTCACGGCAAGGTATTATGTGGGAGTCAACCACAATGATACTGAGATATTTGCAAAACTCTGGACCGCAGGTGTATGCGGTTAGGAACGAACGCGCTATTTATTACCCTTTCCGGGAGCTAACGCCTTCACCACCACACCGGGTCCTACGTTTCGCCTGTCTCTCAGCTAGCCTCAGCTATGGCGCTGGTCGGTAGAAATAGCTGAGAGATAGGGGAAATGGAGGACCGCATGGTGTGGTGGTGAACGCGTGAGCCCCCGGAAAGTGTAACAGCGCGTTCGTTCCCCACCGCAGACACCTGCGGTTCGGAGTTTTGCGAATATCTCAACACCACTGTGGTTGTGTCGCTATATTTTAATTGTGCGTTCTAAGTACTGCTTAGCACCTTTTTGATTTAGTGATTCGAAGAAGCAACTAATTGGTGAATAACGCAATGGCAGTTTTATTGTTCATCCCGAGCAGAGTGCTGATTCGATCCCACACCAAGCCTGCCAAACCGCCTACCTTAATTTTCGGGGTCGGGAAATTGGTACCAGACTAGTTCTGGGTCTGCTCACCTTTCCCAGCTTACGCGGGAGCATTATAACAAGGTCATCCCAACCTCTAGGATGAATTGACTTGAACAGCATTCTATTAAATTCGTTGCGAAGATCGAAATCATTAAGTAGCTGCAAAACAAACGTGCAAAATTGTTCGAAGACCTCGGTGGATGAGAGGAATTTATTCCAATGCAGTAAGTGTCAGAATCCGCACAATAAGTGTGAAGGCTTGCCGTCTAAAATAAAACGAAGTGAAATAATTCATCAATTAGGGTTTAATATCCAGCTCGTCAGTTGCCAACACTCGGTGTTCTTCCATTACCGGATGATACCGTTGAAACCGAGAAAAAAAATCGTAGTCTTTGTCGCTGTTAAATCTGTTGTTGTATCCAAGAATTCAACAAGCACCTTGATTTCTCTGAGAACAATTTTTCATCATCAGTACTTTTCATTCTAGTGAAAATGTTCGGGAGTTCTATGCGCTGGGAGATGTCGATGGAGCGGATGGGTCACATGTAGACCTTGGACCTAAGGAAATAACAACGTACATTAATTTTGAAATTTAAGGCAACAGTTGTAAGCAAGTGGTAGTTAACCTACCACTCAACTTTAGTGCATGTCCGGCTGATTTCGACTTCTTGACTACAATTGGGAAAGGAAGCTTTGGTCGTGTTTTTCAAGTTATGCATAAGGAAACGGGTAAAATTTATGCAATGAAGGTTCTGTCAAAGGAGCACATTAGAAAGAAAAATGAGGTGATTTTTCTACTATACATGTGTAAAAAGTCCTTTTATCAGCTTTTCAATTATCAGTTTCTAAGAACAGCGAGAAAAAGTTCGGAGCTCAAAGTTGATTGCAATATTTGTTTTGCAATCAACTGAATAAAATCTAAAAATAAAAATCTAACGAAAATATTCACTAGGTAAAACACGTAATGGCCGAGTTGAACGTGTTGAAGGCTAATTTCCATCATCCATTTCTCGTTTCACTTCACTTCTCGTTTCAAAACAGGGATAAACTGTATTTCGTACTTGACCATCTTAATGGCGGGGAGGTGAATTCTCAAAATTATCCCTTTTAACTCTTGTTGCAGAATAAACATAAAGGAATTTTTTATAGCTCTTTTCACACCTACAAAAGGAGAAGCACTTTTCCGAGTCCAGGTCACGATTTTATGCAGCTCAAATCGCATCCGCTCTTGGATATCTTCACGAAAATAATATTATATACAGGTGAATATTCAAGCATGACAGGAAAATCTAATTAATATAATATATCTCAAATAGCAATATACAGCCGAACCAAGATGTCAGCGTAGTGTTTTCAAGCCTTCGTTTCTTACGATTTTATAAAAGATTGGAATTGAAGTATAGCAAAACTTTTTGCCATTTATTATCTTAAAAAATCGTATTAATACCCAATAAAAAAAAGAAACTTTGATATTTAAGAGATTTGAAGCCTGAGAATCTGCTGTTGGACAAATATGGCTACTTGGTGCTTACTGACTTTGGTCTCTGCAAAGAAGGTATGACACCAGGTTCAATGACGGCGACATTCTGTGGTACACCAGAGTTAGTTTACACTATCAAATTAATGATTCTGAGGTTGCATAACTTTCGCTCATCTGTATTTCGGTGACTGTGCTCCTAAAACGCTTTCTGCGAGTTATTGTTGAGGTATCTGGCACCGGAGATAATCCTCAAAAAACCGTACGACCACGCAGTAGATTGGTGGTGTCTTGGATCTGTTTTGTACGAAATGTTCTATGGATTGGTGTGTTTACAAGTTTCCATTACAGGACTCCACCTTTGTTTTATTTTTATTTCAGCCCCCATTTTACTCAAAAGATCATAACGAAATGTACAACAGAATTGTGAATGAACCGCTCAGGATAAGAAGGAGTGTTTCGGCTGCATCCACGGATATCATTACTGGGGTTAGTTTCTCCATTCCTGAATTACTCACATGACCTCGAATCCGGTTTAATTTTACAAAGCGAAATTTTTCCTGAAATAAGAATCGCGTGACGAAGTGGACAAATGGAAAAGTCAATAACTCAAAAACTAAACTTAATTAATTAATGGTCTTATCAAGGGAATAAGACGCTTGTTTTTCTAAGACTATGACAAGTTAACAGCCTTTAACCCTCACCATCTTCGGGGTCGTTATCTCCTGTTCTGTACTTTTCAGCTACTTCAAAAAGACAAACACAAACGACTTGGTTCAAAAGCAGATTTCAATGAGATCAAGCAACATAATTTCTTCAAGCCAATAGAGTGGGAAAAACTACTTCGCCGTGAAATCAAAGCACCATTTGTTCCGAAAATCGAAAGCGAGACAGATGTTCGTAATATCGCTGAAGACTTCATTAAAATTAAGATCAATCCTGGTGGGAAATAATTATATTTTTGTGAGATAATAGGTTGAACATTATACGATTGCTCTTTGTTTTAGCCTCTCTAGTGCCTCAAAATCTTGACTCAACACAACGGGACCATGACTTCATGAATTTTACGTTTGTGCAGAAGAATTTAGTGACATAAAACTTTTCGTTGTGACTGTGTCTTTGTTCTGTACATAATTCCGTCAATAAAAATTGTTCGTGACCTCGAATCGAGGAACATGACATCGAGGAATAATATTTTGTTTAGTAGTTTCTAGACTGGGAAGAGCAGAGGCCTTTTTTGCAGATGCAGTGGTGTCAAATATTGCCGAATTATCTTTGTTGCTGAGCTGAACGCTTAAGCGAGGGTGTGGCACAATGGTTAGATATGCTCTGCGTTTCAATGGATCGCCCTACACACCGAGCCAACCGAGCTTCTTGTCCTACAAAGTCAACAGAATTCTAACAAATCGCATTAGAAGTAGTAAAACCATTGACTTATAATTTTTTATAATCTTGTCGAGCAGACGTGAGATGTTATTTTATTCTTTATTCAGGAACAAGCTGACGTTTCGGCGGATTTCGTCTTTCTCAGAGCCTAGAAAGGTCAAGTTGACAGCAATCTACAAGTCCAACCACCTCCATAACTAAGCAGAGAAAATCCTAAACCAAGATTTCAATCACATTAAACACAGAACAGCTTCTTTGCGCACTCACCGCTTTCTATGAGTTCAACTGGGTATGTCGTGTGTAGACCAACCGCACAGAATTCACATGGAAGCGTAACGTGCGCATCCACCAGAATAACAGGCCTATATACTGCCCAATATCACGCGTGATAATGAGGCATTCTTTCCCGCTGTTCATTCTTGACTTTCTGGAATTAATATAGAACGCCTCAAGAATTTTGCACCCTTTTGTTCTCGACTCCAGTGCGAGGGTCGTGACCCGTACTAAAAAGTCCTCCCCGCTGTTTCTGTGTCCTATGGGTGGAGTGTTTGGTTTACGTTTACCGAATAGGTGTCCTTTTACGCGAACACAGAGTCGTCTCCGCACGCCTTACAGGAGATCAGATAAACTGTACCAGAACCCATGCAATCACCGTCTCTACCATTGACCTGTATCACATGTTGTCCCGCTGATCGCCGAGTATCTCGAGCGGGCGCCAGTAAATCTTCCCTTTTTCTCTGTAGCGTGCAAGAATAGCCCAGGATGTTCTGCACGCCCTAAAAACTCATCGAGCATCATATCATTTTCCTAGGCCCTTCGTGAAGAGCTCTGACCATCGGGTCGGTGTTCTTCCTGCAGTACGTTTGACATCTCGAGGAATTCACTCACTAACAACGCTTGTCTATCGGCTGTCATTCATACACATTACGTGTCCAGCCCACCTTATCTTCGACTGTTTGGCGTAGAAAACGGCATCTTTGATTTTTGATCGTTGGTGCAGGTCGGGGCTTCGGATCCCATCCCTTACTTGTGTGAAACAGGATACTCCTAGCATCGTCCTTTCGACTGCGCGTTCGATGGCGCTGAGTGACCTTTCATCCTGCTTACGCATCGGTCAGGTTTCTGACGCATACATTAGAGCAGAAAGTACCGTTGAGTCGAAAACACGGAGTCAGCACTCTGTGTCCTATGGGTGGAATGTTTGGTTTAGTGGGCACGGAGTCGAGTGTTCTTCGTCCTCTTCGCTACATCACCGATGGGCTTGAAACCTCCTGAAGCCGCTCGTTTCCTTCTGCTCAGTTCTAGAGATAAGTCGTTCAACATGTTGATTTCACGACCTAGATAGACATAACTGGAGCATTCGAAAATATTCGTTTTGTTGAACGTGAATGGGGGCATACAAAGGCAATCCGTTCTTCATGAACATCGCTTTGTAAGGTTTAGTCAAAGATCAATCTTTCCACAAGCTTTATCAAAGTCATCAAGCATGCGTTCCGCTTGGCTAATGTTTGGTATTACAAGGAAGAAGTCATCAGCAAAGCGAAGATGGTGTAACTGCCCACCATCGATTTTCACTCCCATATTATCCCATTCCAATTCTCGCGTGACATTCTGAAGGGTGACGGTAAATAATTTTGGCGAGGTGGTATCGCCTTGTCCAACTCCTCCTCTTTTGACGTCAATGGTAATATCGTTGTAGAATGGTGATATCTACGCTGTGAAATTTTTGTACAGCTCGCGAAGAATCTTTATGTAGTGAGTAGGGACTCCTTGACTGTCAAGGGCTTTCAAGACTGCTTCTATCTCAACTGAATCAAAAGCCTTCTGTAAATCGATGAAAGTGAGACAGAGCGGTCTTTTGTACACTTGCGGTATTTTGATGAGCCTTGTTATCGTGTGGATGTGGTTCCTCGTACTAAATCCTTTCCGAAACCCTGCTTGCTTACACGGCTGCCCTTCGTCCAGTGTTCCGTCAATCCTGTTTAGGATGACACGAGTGGAAGTTTGTAGGCAACAAACAGCAAGCAGATTGAGCGATAGTAGCCGATATCGTGTAGATATCACCGATATCACCCTTCTTGAAAAATAACACGGTCTTGCTGGTCTTCCACTGAGTAGGAACCTTGCATTCAGACAAGTAGCGTGTGAAGAGCCGTGCGCATCAGGTGTACCCACGAGATGGGTAATCGCGGCTCAATCTTGTCCGTGGTGCAATTTATAGAAATATTTCTGCATCAATGCGGTTGTATTACTCAAAGTTTTAGCTGAATTTCCATCAAAGTTTGTAAAAACTTATAAAGTAATGGGACATCATATCCCAACAATACGAACGTGAAAGCAGAGTTCAGAACGTTGCGCTCTCTCTTACTTTCCCAGCTAATTGCTCAGTTCCAGCAGCTGATTCTGTTACACAGCAGTCTTATTTATGCTCTTACTTGTTTTTAGAAAAAGAAGCTTGTCAATTACAAGAAATAAGTTCGTGAGCAACAAACACGTGTAAAGATGTCAACGGGCTATAGATCATTGCTACCTAGGAGCAAAACCGAATACAGCAAAAAGGGACAGTTTAATTTTTCCAACGTACTTCACATTTACGTTGTTCGAAACTTTAGTATTTTCTCGGGCTCCAATGATTGTTTATGGTGATAATTTTACTCAGAAAATTAAATACGTCTCCATTTCGTNCAAATAAGGGTGGGTGTGGAGCAGTGGTCGGAGGCGTCCTGCAACATACACGCAGAATCGATCCCCAAGCCTATGGTCCACCAAGTTTTCCAACCCTCCATTGTTGGCAAATTGGTACCAGACCTATCTGGGAGGATAGCAGCACTGACTTGATACATCGATTTGCCACAGCGAGTCACTCTATAAGCCATATATGCATTCAATCGCCTCCAACGATACTTAATGAAGTCGAATGCATAGCGCATCCCTCAAGGATTGATCAACGCCGAGAGCTTTATCCTTAATCCTTTTATCCACTTTGTCGTTTGAAACCGCATAGTTTACCAACGCCACCTAAATTCAATTCTTTTAGTAGTCACTTAACTGCTAAGTAGTCTAGTTGTGTAGTGTTGACGAATTATTTAAACAGTTTATTCCTGTACTAACGAATTCTCATTTTGACACTTTTTGATTATAGATTGATAAATCTTTATAATTTACGTCGACTTGGTGCAAATAAAGCGACAGACAGCTATAACTAGACCAGAGCTTTTTATCAATAAAAGTGAAAGTTTTGGGTAAGTGCTGTAGATACTGTCCAGACATCGACATTTATCTACAACGACGTTGACGCCACTTCGAAAGTGCGAGGAACTGCGGACATCGATTTAGATCATCGGCTCTGAGAAAGACGAAGACGTCGAAACACTAACCGAACGAATATCTGTTTCAAACTTATTTTAGCTTAACAATTAAAGAACGTATTCAAAATATCAACAGCTAATTCGGTTTGAATTCAATTCAATTAGCGAACCTAGCATCCAGTATCTTTCAAGTCGTTTTTTTAAAATCAAATTAGTTGAATTTATGATTTTATTCTATGTCTGAAATGTTTCTCAAAGTCGAACGATTCATGGGCTGTAAGAGCTATGTGATATGCAATATTGGGACCGTGTATACCTTGTAATATTGTTCCACCTAAATTTCCAAGGCCATTTCTATCCACGTTTAGTGCGAGTCAAAGTACGTGTTTCACTGGGTTCGTCGTCTCTCATTTATCGTCCACGGAACTGTTTGAAATTTTGGGTGTATTCGGCTGCTACTTAAAGCTCTGAGACAGTTCTTTTAGAGGGTCCCTATATCGTAACCACAAACAGCCTTCTGCATTGTGGATCAGAGAGAGATTTCGACATACACGTAAGATTCTAATTTTCGGATCATGAAGGAATGTACGACGCCACAAACCATTGCGCTTCCCAAGTCTGACTTTCATACAAATCCAAAAATAAAAGAAATTTTTGTGCTGTTTCTGAAGCAACCTGTGTTAAATTCAAGTGTAGCCAAGTGAGGTAGTCGAATGCAAAAGTATCTGACAATTCTTCCAACGATGAAGCCCAAGCGGGGATTTCCAGTACGTGTAGTATCTCTATAGTGACGCACGGAATGTTTTAAAAAGTACAGTGCAGAGAGTAACTGTAATTTATTCATCAACAGTTTTTCATCTCTTCTCATTTAGATGGAATTCCTCTACTAATCAGGATCGTTTTATTCGTGTTGCACGTTTATAAGTGAAGATTTAAGGGCACGTTTCCTTAGTAGGGCTTGCGTTAACTGGGCATATATTTATTGATATAGACTTCGATGGATGTTAAAAATAACCTTTAACCTATAAGCTCTTCGTGTTCTGTGAAAGCTGTCTAAATCACAAAGCACTAAGGTGGCGATTGACAATCTGTACCTACAATGCACGCACACTTGCATCGGAGCTTTCGATAAAAAACTGGATTATGCAGAGGCGATAGATAAGCTATGCCACCATCGAATATCATGAGACGGGAAGACGCCACGAGCTCAACGCCCTCTATGACAACGAAGAACTGTAAATCGTCAACACGAGTTTGGCCACAAATATCGATTTACTCGAGCAGCTAGAAGGCCAAATCGAACATTTACGATGGAGGAGATGTGTATCAAAACCAGTCTTGACAATCTTCGTCGTCTAGCCGCCGACATCAAGCTATGACAAAGACGAAGTCGAAAGGTTTA